CCTCAGACCCAGTTTTTATCAGGGACAAAGCCAGCCTTCAGTGATGACTTGCTCCTCTAAACGTGTGCCTTTGTACAGCACCATGTACTTAGTATTCACCAGTTCTCTAACATTTAAAAAATATTTTTTCTGCATATTCTTCTTTTTTCAGTTAGGTTCTCCACCCCTGGGGGTGGGGGCAGCCAAGGATCCCACCTGAATGTCTGAAACACCTGTCACAAGATGTGGTCCATAGAAGTGCCTCAGGAGGGCTGGCTCGGTGGCTCACGCCTGTAATCCCAGAACTTTGGGAGGCTGAGGCAGGCAGATCACAAGGTCAGGAGATTGAAACCATCCTAGCTAACATGGTGAAACCCTGTCTCTACTGAAAATACAAAAAATTAGCCAAGGCAGATGCTTATAATCCCAGCTACACAGGAGGCTGAGACAGGAGAATCGCTTGAACCCGGGAGGTGGAGGTTGCAGTGAGCTGAGATCGCGCCACTGCACTCCAGCCTGGGCAAAAGGGTAAGACTCTGTCTCAAAATAAAATAAATTGAAATAAAGTTAAGTGCCTCAGGTGAGAAAGACTAAAATGTCAACAACCATAGTTTTTTGAGATTAACACTAAAAAATATGATAAAGTTACAAGCTCACCTTTGCCAGAAACTAAGGAAGAAAACTTCTCCAGCTACTCAGGAGGCTGAGGCAGAAAGATGACTTGAGGCAGGAGTTTGAGACCAGCCTAGGGAACAGAGCAAGGTCTTATCTCTAAAAAAGAAAAAAAAAAATTTTAATGAGCCACGCAGGAAGTCCTAGCTAGAGGAATCACAGAGGAATCAGTTAAGAGAAAGATACTAAGGGCACCCAAATTGGAAAGGAAAAAGTCAAATTATCCTTGTTTGCAGATAATATATTATATTTGGAAAAAACTGGCTGGGTGTGGTGGCTCACACCTGTAATCCCAGCACTTTGGCAGGCTGAGGCGGGTGGATCAGGAGGTCAGGAGTTCAAGACCAGGCTGGCCAATATAGTGAAACCCCATCTCTACTAAAAATACAAAAAATTAGCCAGGCATGGTGGCAGGCGCCTGTAATCCCAGCTACTCAGGAGGCTGAGGCAGGGCAAACGCTTGAACCTGAGAGGCGGAGGCTACAGCGAGCAGAGATCGCGCCACTGCACTCCAGCCTGGGTGACATTGCGATACTCCGTCTTAAAAAAAGAATAAAGACTCCACAAGAAAACTATTAGAATTGATAAACAGAATCAGTAAAGTAGCAGGATACAAAATCAACATACAAACATTAGTAGCAAGGCTGGGCGTAGTGCCTCATGCCTGTAACCCCAGCACTTTGGGAGGCCGAAGCAGGCAGACTGCTTGAGGCCAGGAGTTCAAGACCAGCCTGGCCAACATGGCAAAACTCCTCTACTAAAAACTAAAAAAATATTAGCCAGGCGTGGTGGTGCACACTTGCAGTGCCAGCTCCTGGGAGACTGAGGCATGAGACTCGCTTGAACCCAGGAGGCAGAGGTTACCAAGCTATGATTGCTCCACTGTACTCCAGCCTGGGAGACAGAACAGACACCATCTAACATCTCTGTCTCAACAACAATAATAAAATCAGTAGCATTTTTACATGCCAACAGTGAACAATGTGAAAGAGAAATTTAAAAAGTAACCCCATTTACAATAGTCACACAAAATTGATTACCTAGAAATTAACTTAATCTGGTATAGATGCAGCAAAGAACAAAAAAAAAAAAAAAGAAAGAAAAAATAAAGAAATTGGCCGGGCGCGGTGGCTCAAGCCTGTAATCCCAGCACTTTGGGAGGCCGAGGCGGGTGGATCACGAGGTCAAGAGATCGAGACCATCCTGGTCAACTGTGGTGAAACTCCGTCTCTACTAAAAATACAAAAAAATTAGCTGGGCATGGTGGCGCGTGCCTGTAATCCCAGCTACTCAGGAGGCTGAGGCAGGAGAATTGCTTGAACCCAGGAGGCGGAGGTTGCGGGGAGCCGAGATCGCGCCATTGCACTCCAGCCTGGGTAACAAGAGTGAAACTCCATCTCAAAAAAAAAAAAAAAAAAAAAAAAGAAATTAACAACCACAGAAGTGAAAGATCTCTGTAATGAAAACTATAAAACACTGATGAAAAAAATTAAAGAGGACATCAAAAAACAGAAAGATATTCCATGTTCATGGACTAGAAGAATCAATATTGTTAAAATGTCCATACTACCCAAAGCAATCTATAAATTCAATGCAGTCTCTATCAAAATACCAATGAAATTCTTCATAGAAATAGAAAAAAAAATCCTAAAATTTATATGGAACCACAAAAGACCAATAGCTAAAGCTATCCTAAGCAAAAAGAACAAAACTGGAGGAATCACATTACTTGACTTCAAATTATACTACAAAGCTACAGCTACAGTAACCAAAAGAGAATCATACAGGCATGAAAACAAGACACATAGGCTGGGTGTGGTGGCTCATGCCTGTAATCCCAGCACTTTGGGAGGTGGAGGTGGGCGGATCACCTGAGGTCAGGAGTTTGAGACCAGCCTGACCAACATGATGAAACTCTATCTCTACTAAAAATACAAAAAAATTAGCCGGGCATGGTGGCACGTGCCTATAATCCCAGCTACTTGAGAGGCTGAGGCAGGAGAACTGCTTCAACCCGGGAGGTGGAGGTTGCAGTGAGCCAAGATCATGCCGTTGCACTCCAGCCTGGGCAACAAGAGCGAAACTCCATCTCAAAACAAAAAAACAAAAAACAGATGCATAGACCGATGGAACAGAGAACCCAGAAACAAATCCACACACCTACAGTGAACTCACTTTTGACAAAGGTGCCAAGAACATACACTGAGGAAAAGAGTCTTTTCAATAAATGGTGCTCAGAAAACCGGATATTCATATGCAGAAGAATGAAACTAGACCCTTATCTCTTGCTATATATAAAAACCAAATCAAAATAAACTGAAGTCTTAAATCTCACACTTTAAACTGTGAAACTACTATAAGAAAACAGGAGAAAATCTCCAGGACATGGTCTGGGCAAAAATTTCTTGAGCAATACCCCACAAACACAGGCAACCAAAGCAAAAATAGCCAAATGCAATCACATCATGTTAAACAGCTTCTGCACAGCAAAGGAAACAATCAACGTATAGTGAAGGGACAACCCACAGGATGGGAGAAAATATTTGCAAACTACCCATCTGACAAGATATTAATAATAAGAATATATAAGGAGTTCAAACAACTCTATAGGAAAAAAAATCTAATAATCTGATCAAAGAATGGGCAAAAGATTGTAATAGACATTTCTCAAAAGACGACATACAGGGCCAGGCGCTGCAGCTCATGCCTGTAATCTCAGCACTTTGGGAGGCCGAGGTGGGTGGATCACGAGGTCAGGAGTTCGAGACCAGCCTGACCAACACGGTGAAACCCCGTCTCTACGAAAAATACAAAAATTGGACAACCTACCCATGAGAACATGCCTCTCGCAAAGGATCTCCTCATCCCTCTCCAGAAGAAGAGAAGAGGAAACACAAGAAGAAACGCCTGGTGCAGAGCCCCAATTCCTACTCCATGGAGGTGAAATGCCCAGGATGCTATAAAATCACCATGGTCTTTAGCCATGCACAAACGGTAGTCTTGTGTGTTGGCTGCTCCACTGTCCTCTGCCAGCCTACAGGAGGAAAAGCAAGGGTTACAGAAGGATGTTCTTTCAGGAGGAAGCAGCACTAAAAGCACTCTGAATCAAGATGAGTGGGAAACCATCTCAAAAAACACATCTTGGATTAAAAAAAAAAAATACAAAAATTAGCTGGGCGTTGTGGGGTGCCCTTATAATCCCAGCTACTCAGGAGGGCTGAGGCAGGAGAACTGCTGGAACCCGAGAGGTGGAGGTTGCAGTGAGCGAAGATCGAGCCACTGCACTCCAGCCTGAGTAAGAGAGCAAGGCTCTGTCTCAAAAAAAAAAAAAAAAAAAAAGACATATAGGCCAGTTGCGGTGACTCATGCCTGTAATCCCAACATTTTGGGAGGCTGAGGTGGGCAGATCACAAGGTCAGGAGTTCAAGACCAGACTGGCCAACATGGCAAAACCTTGCCTCTACTAAAAATACAAAAATTAGCCAGCCGTGGTGGCAGGCACCTGTAATCCCAACTACTCAGGAGACTGAGGCAGGAGAATTACTTGAATCCAGGAGGCAGAGGTTGCAGTGAGCCTAGACTGTGCCATTACACTTCAGCCTGCGTGACAAGGGCAAGACTCCATCTAAAAAAAAAAAAAAAACACATATACAAATGGCAAGCAGGCATATGTAAAGGCGCTCAGTATCACTAATGAGGCTGGGCGTGGTAGCTCACGCCTGTAATCCCAGCACTTTGGGAGGCTGAGGCAAGTGGATCACCTGAAGTCAGGAGTTTGAGACCAGCCTGGCCAACATGGGAAAACTCCGTCTCTACTAAAAATGCAAAAATTAGCCAGGCATGGTGGCGGGCACCTGTAGTCCCAGCTACTTGGGAGGCTGAGGCAGGAGAATTGCTTAAATCTGGTAGGCAGAGGTTGCAGTGAGCCAAGAGCGTGCCACTGCACTCCAGCCTGGGCAGCAAAGCAAGACTCCATCTCAAAAAAACAAAAAAACATTACAATGAGATATCATCTCACCCCAGTTAAAATAGCTTCTTGGGCCGGGCGCGGTGGCTCAAGCCTGTAATCCCAGCACTATGGGAGGCCGAGGCGGATGGATCACGAGGTCAAGAGATCGAGACCATCCTGGTCAACATGGTGAAACCCCGTCTCTATCAAAAATACAAAAAATTAGCTGGGCATGGTGGCACGTGCCTGTAATCCCAGCTACTCAGGAGGCTGAGGCAGGAGAATTGCCTGAACCCGGGAGGCGGAGGTTGCGGTGAGCCGAGATCACGCCATTGCACTCCAGCCTGGGTAACAAGAGCGAAACTCTGTCTTAAAAAAAAAAAAAATAGCTTCTTATATCAGTGGCCCTTATCGAAGCTGCAGCAGCTTCCACATAGCTGCCATGGTGAAAAAGGAGCCGAGTGATAGTTTTCCTTGATGTCTGTCATTCTGTTTGTTGTAACTCATCTGCAACATTTAGGGAAAACAGAGTTCCATTATAAGATAAAAAAATAAAATAAATAAGCCAGGCGGGGTGCAGTGGCTCATACCTGTAATCCCAGCACTTTGGAAGGCCAAGGCAGGCAGATCACGAGTCTGAAGCCAGCCTGGCTAACATGGTGAAACCCCAGCTCTACTAAAAGTACAAAAATTAGCTGGGTGTGGGGGCACATGCGTATAATCCCAGCTACTCGGGAGGCTGGGGCACAAGAATCACTTGAACCCAGGAGGCAGAGGTTGCAGTGAGCCAAGATCATGCCACTGCACTCCAGCCTGGGTGACAGAGCAAGATGCTATCTCTAAATAAATAAATTTAAAATGGCTTATATGCAAAAGACGGGCAATAAATTCTAGTAACAATGTGGAGAAAAGGGAACTCTTTGCACACTTTTGATGGGAATATAAATTAGTACAACCACTATTGAGAACAGTTTGGAGGTTCCACAAAATAACTAAAAATTGAGCTACCATATGATTCAGCAATCCCATTGCTGAGTATATACTCAAAAGAAAGGGAATCCGTACACTGCAGAGATATCTGCACTCCTATGTTTGTTGCAGCACTGTTTACAATAGCTAAGACTTGGAAATGACCCAAGTGTCATCAACAGATGAATATGTAGTACATATACACAATGGAGTACTATTCAGCTATAAAAAAGGATGAGATCCAGTCATCTGCAACAACATGGATGAAATTGAAGGTCATTATGCTAAATGAAATAAGGCAGGAACAGAAAGACAAACATTGCATGTTCTCACTTATTTGTGGGACATGAAAATCAAAACAATAGAACTCATGGACATAGAGGGTAGAAGGATGGTTATCAAAGGCTGGGAAGGGTAGTGAGGAGCTGCAGGGTGAGGTGCAGATGGTTAACGGGTACAAAAAATATACAGAAAGAATAAGACCTATTATTTGATAGCACAACAGGGTGACTACAGTCAATAACAACTATATATTTTTAAATAACTTAAAGAGTGTAAGTGGATTGTTTGCAACTCAATGGATAAACGTTTGAGGGGATGAAGATACCATTCTTTAGAATGTGCTTATTTCACACTGCATGCCTATATCAAAACACCTCGACTGGGCACAGTGGCTCACGCCTGTAATCCCAGCACTTTGGGAGGCCAAGGTGGATGGATCACCTAATGTCAGGAGTTCGAGACCAGTCTGGGCAACGTGGTGAAACCCCATCTCTAAATAATACAAAAATTAGCCAGGCATAGTGGCACACACCTGTAATACCAGCTACTCCGGAGGCTAAGGCATGACAATCGCTTGAACCCAGGAGGCGGAGGTGGCAGTGAGTTGAGATCATGCCACTACACTCCAGCCTGGGTGACAGAGTGAATCTGTGTCTCAAAAACAAACAAAAACAACAAAGAACAAAACCATCTCATGTACCTCATAAATATATAATGGGTACTACTAGGTACCCATTAAATCAAAAAATAGCCAGGCATGGTGGTGTTCACCTGTAGTCCCAGCTGTCTAGGAGACTGTGGTGAAAGGACTGCCTAGGCCAAGCTTACCCAACTCGCAACCCATGGAACACATGCAGCCCAGGACAGCTTTGAATGCAGCCCAACACAAATATGCAAACTTTCTTAAAACATGAGATTATTTTGTGATTTTTATTTTTAGCTCATCAGCTATTGTTAATGCATTTTATGTGAAGCCCAAGATAATAATTCTCCTTCCAATGTGGCCCAGAAATGGCAAGAGTGGACACACCCCTGGCCCTAGATAATATAGCAATGCCCCATCAAGAAAGAAAGAAAGAAAGAAAATACAGAGAAAAAAAAGAAGAGAACAGAAAAAAGAGAAAAGCAGAGGGAAGGGGAGGGAAAGAGAGGGGAGAGGAGATAAGATGCTCCTACCTGCACCTGGGAGCTCAAGGCTCAGGGATGGACTGGACAAATGACCCCCAGAAATGCATATACAATTGCTGCCACTGGGCCTAGCTACCGCTAAATCAAATGACAAAGCAAATCAGTTCAACTCAGTAGCTCTCCCTGCTTAGGGGGTAATTCAACCTCTTCCCTTTTGGGGAACCTCAGAAGCCTCTGAAATGTCTCCCTTCTTCCTCCCTCACATTCCCTTCAGAGGAAAGCACTTGGTACGGGTTTGAGAGCAGGAGGGTCCCCCCGCCCCCGCAACCCCAGGACCTTCCTGAAAGATCCACAAACAACCTGACCCACATGGACAGAGAGACACAGGGACTCACCACCCTGTTTGACAACAGGAAAACCTGCAGGGTGTTAAAGGCAGAAAAGGGGAAGTGAAGCCCACAGACAGCTACTGGAACCACTGAACTTCAGAGATTAAAACAAATCAGACAGGAGGCCCACATTTCCCCTGGCCCTCAGCAGGGACCCACAACAACCCCGCGTTCCAAACAGGACAATGAACATTGTATTCCCTGGAGCTCCACTTCTGAGAGTTTATAAATCTGCCAGGCATCCTGAGAACATGGAAACAGCAATGGGAAACTCAGAGCATTGTTCAGACTCTTGGTGAGAACCCTCTACTCCTGCAGAGATGGAAGAAACAATTCTGTGTACTATGGCCAGCTCTCATATATACCAGCAAACCACAGACCCATAAGGTAGAGCAGAGACTGGATCTGTTTTTGACTATTATCATTTCCCAAAGTGCCTGGCACATAATTGGCACTCAAAAATATTTGTTCCCGCCGGGCGCAGTGGCTCACAGTATAATCCCAGCACTCTGGGAGTCAGAGACAGATGGATTACCTGACATCAGGAGTTTGAGACCAGTCTGGCTAACACGGTGAAATCCCGTCTCTACTAAAAACAGAAAAATTAGCCGGGTGTGGTGGCGCATGCCTGTAATCCCAGCTACTAGGGAGGCCGAGGCAGGAGAATCACTTAAACTGGAAGGCAGAGGTTGCAGTGAGCCAAGACTGCGCCACTGCCCTCCAGCTTGGGCAAGAGCAAAACTCCATCTCAAAAAAAAAAAAAAAAGACATCTAATTTAAACCATCCTTACACACACATATATATGTATGTATGTATATGTATTTGTTCCCTAAATAAGAGAGAATGATGGACACTATCTTAGTGGCCTGGTACCCTATTTACACATATAGACAAAGACAAAAGTCCGTTCATTTATTCATTCAACAAATATTTATTCAGTATCTCCTCTGTGCCAGGCACTTTCCTAGACACAGAATAAATCCCTGCCCTGTAGAGTTTATCTTTTAATGGGCGCAAAGGTGGGAATCTCCATGCTCCTGAAAAAACTATGTAAGCCATAGACATTTGATAATTACTTAATAAACGCCTAGACTATGCATAAGCAACTGGTACCAGATGCTGTGATAGGAACCTGCAATCTGGGACTTAGCCATAGTGAAATTATTTCATCTACAAGGTCAGGATCTTAAATCTGGACCACATGTTAGTCAATGGTCAGAGACCCCGAGTAAAGAAAATGGGATTACCTCATTGGTGCATCTGTCTTCATCTGTTGGTGAGCAGAAGCCACTGTGTGAACATCATGTGCATGCCCAAAACACTGTACGACACTGCAGGACAGAAATTAAAAAAAAAAATCAGCTTTAGTTGAGAGGTGCCGGGGCCCTAAAAGCAACTTTAATAAGTTATAAACACCATAACTCAAAGAGTGCTCCCAAGGTAATCTGGCTCCTTGTCTGTTCCTTACATACCACCCTGAGATGTGATTCTGAGCCTGAGTCAGCAAATATTTCCCCAATCCTGGAAGGAGTCTGCTCACTCCCAAGTAAGCAGACACTGGCTTTGCTGATTTTGTCAGATTGGGCAGAAGGAGCAGGCAAGGTAAGAAAGGAGCTGGTGCCCAATACCCCCATGGGTAGCAGCTCATAAACGAAGATGTCCTGAGTCATGGTTGATTCCTTCACCAAAGCCCCTGGAGACTGAACTGGAGTCATATCCTAGTCAACAGCCTGCTGAGTTATGAAGGCTAGGAGCCATCTGCCAAGGAAGAAGACCCACATGTCTGAAACCTGATACAAGCGGCCATGTTCTCCCTGCCAGGCTCAAGGCAAGCTCCAAGCTCTCCTCTGACACCCTGGAATTCAGCTGTTGCAAGCAGCTCCTCCCCTGGCTCCAAAGGCAGAGAAAAATGCTCAGGGACGTCAAACTGTCTCCAAGAAGCAGCCATTAGGTAATCTGGGACCACTTGGCATAGACCAGGTGTCCCCAAACTTTTTACACAGGGGGCCAGTTCACTGTCCCTCAGACCATTGGAGGGCAGTCACATACTGTGCTCCTCTCACTGACCACCAATGAAAGAGGTGCCCCTTCCTGAAGTGCGGCGGGGGGTCGGATAAATGGCATCAGGGCTGCATGCGGCCCGCGGGCCGTAGTTTGGGGACGCCTGGCATAGACAATGGCATCAGGCACAGGGCTTCTGACATCATATAGGCAAGGGCCTGGCAGAAAGGACAAAGTCCACAGAGATCTGGGTAGGGAGGAAGAAGAGGATGTTTCCAGCGAGGGCAATGCTGGAAATTACAGTGGAGCTGGGTCCTGTAATTTCCAGGCCCTCCAGAGGCACGGGAGGAAGGCGCCACTGTTCAGCTTCCCAGCCTGCAGCGGGCACTGAGGGAGGTGGGCCTCAGGGACAGGATATAGCTGAAGCCCTTAGACGTGACAGGTCCAACTCCTGAGAGAAAGAAACTGCACTATCCCAGGATGTGCCAGAACCCGCAGGCCCTGAAGACAGCTAGCACAACAGTCAGGACAGCTGTAGGCCCAAAGCAGAGGCCTAATGGCTTCCCAGGCCAGTGCCCTACGCTAGCTATCCTCTTACCAGGCTCTAAGGGAAGCGGCTGAAGGGACCACAGGTGGGGCTGAAAGACTGAGTAGGAGCAATTCTTCCTGAATGTGTTGAGGCATATGTTATACAAGAAGGCAGTGGCAAAGAGGCAAGAAGAAAGGCAGCCAAACTGGCAATCAGTGTCATCTCAGTGCTCTG